GCGGCATAGCTCAATGAGCTCCTCCTTGAGTTCGGTTTTGTACAGCCGCAGCCAGAAGAAGTGGAGCCGGGCGCGGTCCTCGTAGCGGAGGCTCCACAAGTCGAGCGTCTCGAGCAGCGCCGGCGACGGCATCTTCTCGTCCTCGGTGAGATCGGCGAAGTTGACCACCTGCACCTGTGGCTCCTTCTTTCCGCCGGCCTCCCCGGCTTCGAGCAGGGCTCTCTCCTCTTCGATCTGTCTGATCTCTTCTTCATCTCCCTCCTCTTCTGCTTCGTCATCCTCTTCCTCTTCTTCATTGCCGCCAGGCACGTTGACGATACTCACCGCGCCCTCCTGTAGCTGCTCGTCGACGAAGTCTTCTTCTCCTTCTTCTTCTTCACCTTCGTCTTCGTCTTCACTTTCGTCGCCCAGCTTTTCCTTTCCCTTGTCATTCTTCGTCGTCGCCACGTCTTCTTGCAGGTCCGCCAGTCGCTGGAAGCGATTAGTCTGGGCCGTCGCCGCCCCGTTCACCTTCGCCTTCCCCTTCCCTTTTTGTCGTCGCTTCTTCTTGGGCAGCTCCAGCCAGCGGTCGAGCAGCATTGCCGACGAGGCCTCGTCAGCCTCCTCTCGGCCCTCGCACAGGGAGCGGAGGTGGTGCGGGAAGGCCACCTTCTTCAGGTCGCTCAAGGAAAGCCTCTCCTTGCGCAGGTTTTCCAAACACTGGACGATAGCATGCGACACTTCGTCTTGCCTGTATACCATGACGGTGAGGAAACGCTTAGGGTTACTGGCAGGACGAGCCGCGGTGAGGGGTCAACGCACGATCGCTTGATATTCCACCGGGCACCCAGCAGCCGATGACCATAAGGCAGCTGCAGCTTCATGATGTTGCGCTCTCCAAGAATCGTGCTTGACGACCGGCCACCGATGCGCACGACGTTCTTCTCGAACTTGTAGATTCCCTCCAAGAACTGCTGGGCGCAAGGCAAGTGATTAGCTCCCTCGCTCTATCTGGCCGCAGCGGCCAAACCACAGAGTACTGACCTGATCGAGAGCATGATTGGTGTAGCAAACGCACAGGATTGGCGGTGCCGTGCGCTGCCTGGTTTGCAGCAGCAAGCGCGCGATCTTGAGACCCACAAAGGTCTTGTGGATGGCCCGGGCCATCAAAGTAGTAGGACTCGTCAGCGCATATGCACACAAAAGCCACGGATACGGTGAGTACCTTGCCGGTGCCGGGCGGCCCTTGGATCAGGGCCAGCTCGTTGGTCAGCGCCTGTCGCACGGCCTGGAGCTGGCTTTCGTTCAGCCCAGAATCGAAGGTCGGCCAGGGCTGCAGCACCGGCCAGCTGTTGGCCGGGTTACGGGCCGGGAGCGGGTCGCCCCGATCCTGCCGCCGGCCGGCCGGGAGCTGCTTCGGAGGCGGGGGCTCGACGTAGCCTCGCTTGAGGAGTGAAAAGTCGAGCGTACTCTCTGCTCTCCCACCATTACTTTAGCGTCGAGATCACACCACGCCAATAATAAATAATCTCTGGTACCCTGGTCGAAGTAGGACGGAGGCCTGATCTCGTTGGAGAGGCGGAGCAGATAGCGCTGAAACGGAAGCGCGTCGTCGATGATGTTCTTGAGTGCCAGAAGTACGTGGCGGTAGGCTTCGAAATAGGCGGCGGAGGACTCGGCCATCACGTACGTGCCCTCCATCTTAAAGTCGGGCTCATAGCCACGCGGAAACCTAGGTTTGCGCAAGTGGGTG